GACTCCTGGCAGTGCTCAGAAGACCATCTGGGAATTAAAACAGCATGGTACTGGAACAAAGGCAGAACTGCAGACCAATGGAACAGGGTTGAATACACTGACATCTCTCCTCAATCATATGCTCATCTAATCTTTGATAAAGGTGCAAGTAATGTGAAGTGGAGTAAGGAAAGCCTCTTTAATAAATTGTGTTGGCATCACTGGATGGCTACATGCAAAAAAATAGGCTCAGAACTCTGCCTAACACCATGTACAAAAGTAAGATCAAAATGGATTAAAGACCTCAACATCAGACCAGAAACCATAAGGTACATTGAAGATAAAGTTGGCAAAACCCTCCATGACATTGAAGCTAATGGTATCTTCAAAGATGCCACGCCACTGGCCGAGCAAGTGAAAACAGAGATAGATAAATGGGACTATCTTAAACTAAGAAGCTTCTGCACCTCCAAAGAAACAGTGACCAAAATACAAAGACAGTCTACAGAATGGGAAAGGATATTCACCGAATACACATCTGACAAGGGGTTGATATCCAGGATATACAAAATACTGGTTAAACTCCACAAGAAGAAAACATCCAACCCCATCCAAAAATGGGGCAATGAAATGAACAGAAACTTTCTCAAAGAAGAAATCCGAATGGCAAAAAAGCACATGAGAAAATGCTCTACATCATTAATCATCAGGGAGATGCAGATCAAAACCACAATGAGATACCATCTCACACCTCAGAGACTGGCCCAAATTCAAAAGAACAAAAGCAACTGATGCTGGCGTGGATGTGGCGAGAAAGGGACACTCCTTCACTGTTGGTGGGAATGTCCACTGGTTCAGCCCTTCTGGAAAACAGTATGGACGATTCTCAAAAAATTAGAAATTGAGCTCCCATTTGACCCAGCAATACCACTCCTGGGAATATATCCCAGAGAGGCAAAAATGTATAGTTGAAGTGACATCTGCACTTGTTTGTTCATTGCAGCCCTCTTTACAATAGCCAGAAACTGGAAGAAACCTGAATGCCCAAGAACAGATGACTGGTTAAAGAAACTTTGGTACATCTACACAATGGAGTACTATGTAGCTCTTAGAAAAGATGAAGTCATGAAATTTACATACAAGTGGTACAATATGGAAAGTATCATGCTAAGCGAAATGAGTCAGAAAGAGAGGGATAGACATAGAAAGATTGCATTCATCTGGGGGATATAAAGTAACAAAGTATGAGATTAATACCCAAGAATAGCTGAGATCAGCACCAGGAGGATTACTCCATAACTTAGAGGCCAGCCGGGTATCCTAGAGGAAAGGGCTATTCAGATAGAGAAGGGAGCACCAAATAAAGGATGTTTGGAGGATCCTCCCAGGAGGGGAGATGCATGTCGAAAGTAGACTATGGACTGAACATGTTTGCCACTCAATGCCTCTTTTGCAGACCACAACACCCAAAAGGAGAGAGAGAACACAGGGGATTGCCCTGCCACAGAGACAGGGGGGATGGGGGGATGGGGGTGGGAGGGATATTATCCATGGTGGTGGAAAATGGGCACTGGTAGAGGGATGGGTATCTGATCATTGTATAATTGAAACCAAAGCACAAAAAATTGTAAATCTACAACTTAAAAAAAAATAAAATAAAATAAAGGGAAAAAAAAAAAAAAAGAAGACCATCTGGGGTGGCAGACTGAACCCAGGTCGGCCATGTGCAAGGCAAACACATTACCATCTGTACTATCACTCCGGCCACAGACTGAATTCTTAAAACTGACTTCAAACTTTTATTGATAAATACTTTACACCCCATTTCTCCAAATTTGTTCATAACTGAGGCCATGGCATATTCCTTAAAAATCTCCAAATAAGGGGCCAGAATGATAGTACAGTATTTAGGGAGTTTGCCTTGCACTTGGTAGACTTAAGTTGTATCCCTGGCACCCCAGATGTCTCCCAAGCTCAGCCAGGAGTGATCCCTGCATAAAAAGGCCAGAGTAAGCTCTAAGCACAGACAAGTCTGACCAAAATTTTTTTAAAAAATCAAGTATTTTCTCTCATAGTCCTGCACTTCAAAACATGCTTTATCAGAAATAATTTTCATCTGAGTAACTTCCACCTACCCTTCCCTTCATCCAAATCTTCAGTTTCTATAAAGTCTTAAATATAAAGCCCTGAGTATCCCATTTTTGTTCTCTCATTTTACCTCTATCATCATATATTATTTATGGAATCATATTGTAATCACCGGTTTGCCTCTTTTCTGCTAGACTCTGAACTTCTGAAAGAGAGAACCCTTCATCTTTGTTCATTTTTATATTCTTTACTTGTCCATCATGTCCTCCATATAGCAGTATTTTATAAAACTTTTGGTGGAATAGTAGGGAGAAAATAGTCTATCAGAGGAAATAGTAAAAATAGGACCTTAATCTAATATCATGTTATAAAGGCAAAACAACTCCTAATGCGCAAAGACTCTCTAGCCTGTGATACTGACTATATTCTCTGTGCATTCTGGGTCCATTATGAAAGGCTCTTTAAAAAATGGTAACATTCCATTTTGAATTTTCTTCAAAATTCTTCAAAATTTAAAACCTACTCAAGGAAACATTCTTCCTATTACTTCAATAGGTAAAGATTTTACTTTATATTCCGAAATATCAATATTTCAACACAAGAATAGATATTTGCTTATATTTGATTAGAAACTTTGTTATATGTATATATGTGCGTGCGTGCGTGCGTGCGTGCGTGTGTGTGTGTGTGTGTGTGTGTGTCTTCTTTACCAAAACTGCCAGAGATAATATGCAATGCAAAAGTAGTAAATGGTACTTAATCCTTGCTGCTGTGTGTAACAAGTATGCCATATGTTCTTTTTGAACAGATGATTGAAAGAGCCCTCTGGGGTTCTACACTCAATGTGCCACCAAAACTGTTCTCACAGACTCAATTATTTTGTTTGTTTGATTTCTCAGCAAGGCTCATCAAAGCAGACCACTCTTTCTTTCTAGAAAGGAGAACTTGATCTGGTTTCCATATACTAAACTTCCCAGTTTTAATTCTACTTTTCTGGCTACTCCTCCGCAATATTTGGGGTAGCTATTCTCTTTTACCAATTTGTTAAACATTTGTTTCACAAGGCTGTCTCCTTTCCCCTTATGCCATTTCTCCTCTTCTCCCAGATTGCTCATTTTATCAAGTGCTTTTTATAAATACGTCTTAATAAAGGTAGACAGTACCTCATTCTGCTTTTTTTCAAAATGTATGCAATATCATAAACTTTAATGAACAAGCATGATTCCTATGGAAATACTGAGCAAGCGGCTATCGAAGAGAAGAGCAGAGGCCCAGGGAGATGTTCAGGGAGCTGGGCACATGCTTTACAGGAAGGAGGCCCAGATTTGATCCCTGGCACCACATGGTTCCGTCAGCTACCAGAGCAATCTCTGAGCACTATACCAGGAACAGTCTGAGTACCAGCAAGTGTGACCCCAAAATGACAGAGAACAAAAAATGAATAATTTTAGGGAAAAATCCTTCATAGGGCATTAAAAGGATATTTTATGACTACTGTTTATGATGACAGGTTTATGGGAAGGCTCGGGAAATTGTAGGCTAATTTTGTTCCGTAAAATGTAAGACAGCCATTGAGAACATACTAATGAATATTAAATCACTTGGGTTTGTGCAAATTGACTTTAAAACTCTGAAAAGACTATTGGTTATTTACCAAGGAAAAGTTGTAGCAGCCTCCAGGCCAGCAGAAGTGCTTCTGTGTCTAGAGCCCAGTTTAAAGAGGATAAAACAACATACCCTCAGGCAAGTGACAGGGTTTGAATAGACTACATTAAGAAGAGCAATGCCTCAGGGAATTCAGAAATTAATACAGATTAAGACATTCTGCTTCTAAGGTCTCTATCAAAAGGACTGTTCCAACAAAAAATTAAAAGTGTTGGGTGGAGGGGGTGCATACCAAGTGTTTATAAGAAATTCTTCAGCCACTCAAAAATAAAATGAAGGGACAGATAGGACTCTTGTCTTTCAATCAACAGACAGTTCGATCTATGACAACCTGTACAGAACTGCCGGGTGTGATTCAAAAACAACAACATAAAATTATGAATCAAAGCCATCTGCATGTATTACTTCAAACTGTAAATATGCAACCTTGATTTTTAAAGTATTTGGGAACAGGGCAGATTATAATTTATTCTAATATACAGAATCCAGAAATTCAGTTATAAAAACATGATTCTGTCTTTTGCACAATACACTGTATTTAGCTGGGGCATGGGGTGGTGGTAGTCACATCTGGCAGTGCTCAGGGGCTACTTCAGCTCTGCACTTAGGAATCAGTCCTGCCAATGTACATGGACTATATGAGATGCCAGAAATTGAACACAGGTAGCCTGCATGTAAGACAAGTGTCTTACTGTACTATCACTCCTACCTTAATACACTGCATTTTAAATTACCTCACTAGTTACTGAATGCATGAGAGAGTTTCCTCCAGAACACTAACATTTACCAATCTATCTTGCTGAAATTATATACTGATAAAGTTGCTGCGTATCTAATGCAAACTTGAAGATTTAATTGAAATGGTTGTTTACACACACTTTCAGAATAGAGAAACTAGCATGATCTTTCATAACCCAAACTGTGTTTCCCAAAAGCTAAACCTTCACATCTGAACTCAACAAAAGCAGAGAGGAACCTTTAAGAATATTATAAAAATGAGAAACATGTAATCAATTAATTTGGGGTACAAAATTCCAGTGGGGTACCAAAACAAAAACGGTTTTACTAAGATAGAATCCTTTTGGCTCAGAGATTCCTGAAATCATTTATAAAGGCATATGTTATCCAGGAGTTTAAGTTTCCTAGGAAGATCATAGAGATTTGTTTTAAATATTTTTGGTGTCACAATCTGTAGCTCTCTTGAACAAATACTTTCTTGTATTCACGACCGACTTAAAAATTCTCTGAAATTTGTCATGTGACTTTACCTTGCTTCCATTTTCTCTTGTCTCTCTTTCCATCTTGAGGTCAGAAATTAGAAGATTCTTATATTTGCTTTTTCCATTACTGCTGTGATCATCCAGTCTGTATTCTGAAGTCAGCTGTGCTGAGAGAGGACTGTCACTCAGGTTCAGTGGCTGCTCCTCCTGCTCCAGCCCAGTTTTGCCATTATCATTGGAGTCACACATTTCCCTGCTGTGTGTTCCCCCTGAAGTAACCGAACTGTGCCCCAGAGTCTCGTTGCCATTAAAGCTTTCTGCAGCAGAATCATCTGTTGGAAATAAAAAAATAAAATGTGTGTTTCCGTTTCAGTTACTATAATATTCATTTCTATTTCAACTAGCATTTACTGAGTTCCTGTGTTTGACATTTTGCTAATTTACATACAATGTGCATTTACCATTAGTAATCAACTTGTGCAACAGTTACTGTTATTTTTAATCTACTAGGCCCATTTAGTCACCATAAGGGTAAAATACTGTAATAGGAAAAAATGTCAGAGAGAAAAAGGAGAGAAAAACAATTCAATTTGAATCTTTAATAAGAGAAAGCACTGTAGCACTGTCCTCCCATTGTTCATCAATTTGCTTGAGCGGGCCCAGTAATGTCTCCATTGTGAGACCTGTTGTTACTGTGTTTGGCATATCAAATACATCATGAGTAGTTTGCCAGGCTTTGCCATGCGGGCGAGATACTCTCAGTAGTTTGCCGGGCTCTCCGAGAGGAGAGGAGAAATTGAACTTGGGTCAGCCAGGTTGGCCGCGTGCAAGGCAAGTGCCCCACCCACTGTGCTATCGCTCCAGCCTAATAAGAGAAAAATAGATGATAAGTTTGATTTACAGGTAAAAGGTAAAAGGTAAAGGCCCTCCCGCTGATCATCGATTTGCTCGAGCGGGCCCAGTAACGTCTCCATTGGAGACTTTGTTGTTACTGTGTTTGGCATATCGAATACGTCACAGGGAGCTTGCCAGGCTCTGCCATGCGGGTGAGATACTCTCGGTAGCTTGCCAGGCTCTCCGAGAGGGGCGGAGGAATCGAACTCGGGTCGGTCATGTTGGCTGCGTGCAAGGCAAACGCCCTTATTACTTTTTCAGTGAGAATATCCAGATTTGGTGAAAATATTCTGATAAAAATTTTATTAGAGCTAATGGTGGAGTATGCACCAATACAAGCTTTAAGAGTACATATTTTAAGGCCAGTGAGTACAGCAGGTAGGGCATTTGCATTGTGGCCTACACAGGTTCAGTCCCGAGAGTTCCATCCAGTATGCTGAGCATTGCAAAAAAGTAATTCAGAGTGTAGAGCCAAAAATAAGCCCTGAATACCTCCAAGTATGCCCCCCTCACCTCACAAAAAGTGCACATTTAAACATTGAGAGTGCACATTAAATTTCTGGCATTTTTAAGACTAAAGAGGAGTTGAATTGTCCGCAATTCTGTATAAGTAAAAGACATTTACACCAGATTATCTTGAAAAGATTAAAAATAACAAATTAGCAAAACTGAAAGATTAGTTTGGTACACTTGTAGTATAAAAATAGTATGAAATTATTCAGTAATATTTCAAAGATAAGGAAACTGTGAATCATAAAATGATTTAAGGTTAGCTATAAAATATGGTCAATACAATTTCAGTTTTATAAAAAAAAAACAGAAAAGCCTGAAAAATATAGTGGAAAATGCTAATATTACATTCCTTTTAATTGTCTGAAAATAGATGAAATAAAATTGTTTATTTTATAATATCAAAATCATGAAGATGATAGAAATAAAGAACCAAACAAGGGAAAGTGGATTTTTCTAGTTCTAAATAAATAACAAACCTATTTATGAAAAAGTTTAGCAATAAAAGGAATGAATAGCTACATAGTTTATGATGAACAGAAGATAAAAATATAAATAATTATAATGATGGGTCCGGGATGATAGCATAGCAAACAGGGAATTATACTTGCACAAGACTTAACCCGGATTCCATCCCAGTTATAACATATGGTCCCCCTGATCCTGCCAGTAGAGATCCCTGAGCACAGAGATGGGAGTAAGCCCTCCAAACCACTGGGTGCAGTCCAAAAAACAAACAAACAAACAAATATATATAATGTACCAGATTATAATAAATAAATAATTTAGTTAAAAGTTATTAGTAATACTACATAATAAGATCAAAGGACTTATAATTTTCATTCTAAATTGTTGAGTATACTGCCTTTTAATAAAACTTCCTTTTATTAAACATAATTTGTGAAAATATCTATAATCTGAAGGCATAGTATAAATCACTTGTTCATTTATTCAATAGATAATTATATAATAGCTGTTATTGGCTAAAATGGGTCTACATGCTTTGTTTATAAAGACTGCCTTCAAAAAGTTTACAGAACATTTAACTAGAATAGAAAAGCAAAACCACAATAAAATGCAGAATAAATAAGGATATGGCCCAAAACAAGGGCTCTGAAGAAACACATCACAGACACTTGCCTAAAGGAAGTGGTTGATCGTCGCATTCAAAAGATGAATAAGCCTAAGCCAGGTTAAGAAGTTTTATAAGAGTTTTCTCCACTGCAGGTCAGCATATAGAGGATCATTCTCTGTTTAGCACAGAGAATATGCTGATAGCTTAGGAGCAAGAAGTGAGTGCCCATCACAAAAGACTGGAGAAAGGGACACTTAGAAGGAAAAGAAAAAAAAAAACCTCGGGAAATGTTTTATTTTTCAAAGAACTCCTATTTTATTTTGAAAGTAAACAAAAGCAAAGTTAATTATGGTAATTGAGTGAAAAAAATGTTAGATATTACCCTGACTCTGTTAAGAATGGTTTAAAGGTGACAAAATGGAAGTTGAAAAGATCAGATAAGAGAGCTAGAAATCATCTAGGTGATAAAAAGTTTCATTTTCATAAATAATATATTTTTATTTTTATTATTTATTTATTTATTTATTTTGGGGCCACACCATACTGTACTCTGGTTCTGTACTCAGGGATCACATCTGGAAGGGTTCGGGGGACCATATGTGGTGGTATTAATCTAACTTGGGTCTAAGGCATAAGTTCTTATGAGTTGTACTGTCTCTCCAGCCCTTAAAATTATTTCTAAAAATATTTTTTGAAAGGACAGAATGCGTCAAATGGCAAAGTTGTACTATTGAATTGCTTTTATGTGCTTATCCAAAAAATGTTTCATGGGCAAAGAAAACTTACAAATAAAAAATTTAGGAGGGGTTGGAGAAATACTGTAGCAAGGAAGGTGCTTGGGTTGCACGTGGCTGACTCCTGTTCGATTCCTAAATACCACTACAAGTAATTCCTGAGTGCAGAGTCAGGGGTAACCTACAGGATCGCTGAATGTGGCCCAAACACAAAACTAAACAAAGAATCTAGGAAAATGGCTAAAATGTGATATTGCACTTTCTACAGTTCTTGACAATACTTTCTAAAAATAATGAAATAACTGAATTTGAAATACAAAATTAGATAATTTGGTGACTTTTAAATCTATTTATGCTGTTAAATTCCTACAAAAGAAAAGGGGAAAAAAAGAATAGAAGGTAATTTTTGATTATTTTATTTCTTTCTAAGAAAGACCAAAGAAACACATAATGGATATATTTAAGTCCAATTATTTAAATCACGAAGAAAATGTAGTGCTGGGATTCAAAACAGTTCAGTTACCTACAAGGCAAGTTCCACTGTACGTTTCTATTGATTCTTGTTACTACACTCTTTATTCATTTCATCACCATTTATTCATTTTCTTCAGGGAAGAATTCATGTGTTTATAATTTTAGTTTAAAATATAAACAATAAATGAGAAAATATTTTTAGACAGAGTAGTTCATTCCAGATGTTACCAAGGTAACTAAATTCAACAGCTTTACATATTTAATTTCTATATACAAGAGTATGTTTTATAAATAACAGATGATTTATTCCTTTCTAGCCAATATATATTCATATATAATTTAAATAAAAAATAGTATCAAAAACCACAATTTTATAAATAAAAATATAAAACTAAGTTTTGATGTCTACATTAGAAAATTTTAAGATGAAAAGGAAGAAATTAAGATAAAGTTGGCATTTTCATTGTCTACTTTTACATAATTATATTAAATTTATTTTCCCTTCATTAAAAATAACTATTTTGTAATTTAAAATTTAGGTTTCTGGTTTGTAATCAATTTACGCCAATCTTCGTTTTAAACTTGTAAGCTATCTCCTTACATAACATAGTCATCTCCATCCTGAGTAGCTGATGGAATATGAGTACTGGGCAATTTTACAAAAAACAATGTCCAGATTGGAAATATGGAATTTAGGTTTACAGGCCTGGAGCAGTAGTGATTTCAGTCTCGGTACTACAGCATTCAAAATAGACTCTGTATTTGCCTCCCAAGGAAAAAAAAAAAGGTAACTTATTAAAAGCGTCCAACATACCTGGCAACAAGATGAGAACATAGAAAGTGATGACAGAATAGTATGGAAGCTAGTGACATCAGGAGGGCAGTTGGATATTTGGGTTACATTTGTTCTGTGATTGATTTTGATGAGATGGTTTTAATGTGGCAGAAGGCTGTTCAAGTTAACTTGAGAATGATCTTATGTAAGTTATAATATACTATCCATAGTGAGTTTATTCATTGTCCTTTCTTTACCAAACTCTCCAATTCCTTCATCAATTAGAAACAATAAAAACCCTTTTATCAAAATTATTTATCTAAATTGTCCCCACTAGGATTTTTATAAAATAGTTTCATCAGTACCAGATTCAATGGTTTGATTTCTTTAAATAAAATGAATTAACCTGTAACAAGTGTCTAATGTTTGTATACATATAATGTGTGTACTTGTATGTGCATTCATATATATGTGTGTATCCATATATATCTGAAATCTCCCAAAGTATCTGGCCTACTTTTTTGCACAGTTACTTTCAGTAGCATTTCATTATAGCCTTATAGCCTTTAGGCCAATTTCCTTGGGCAAAATGAATGAGAAAAAAAATTCTCATTTGACGACTAGTACTGGGAAATTTTAATCCTACAATCTAGGTCAAGTGCTTATAGGGTCAAAAAAAATTTTTTTTTAATATTCTGCTTGCCCAAAAATAAACCACAGTACTCCACCTCCAGTTCTCTGATACTTTCTTCTTTATCTCATCATAAAACTTTCAAACCCTAAATATAGATTAAGCAGCTATATTCCAAAAGATTAGTACCTTAACATCCAAAATAAATCTATTTGCAAAATAAATATCAGTTGTAATTC